CGCGGGCGGGCCGGGGAGCCCCGGGGCGGCAGGAGGCCCCGGGTGGTGCCCTGAAACGTGGTGCAGCCCCTAAGTCCCCAGCCGGGCTCAGCAGATGGAGGTGGCGGTGGCCCCGCTGCTGTCACCCCTCCTGGCAGGGCACCGCTGCACGTGTTGCAGAGCCATGGAAACGCCTGGATCCTGGGAGCGGGTGATCCCCGCAGGCTGTGCGGGAGGCGACGTGTCCGACAGGATTGGGAAGTTGGGATCTTTCCTGCAAGATGAACGTTGCACTGCCCGTCACGAGCTTCCAGCATCGGGCAGGGATGGGGTGAGGGAGGACGAGGGAATAAACACACTGAGTCTTGTATCTTCAGCTTCATGTGGGAGAGCACAGAAGACTGTGACCTGCAAGTGGACAAGGCAAGAATACTGGCCCTTAATAAAAGCCACGAGCTGTTTCTCTACGAATACACTATAGAAGATGGAAAATACAACCAGATTCCGCTGCATGGTTGTAAGGAAGATGCACTTAAAAAGTTCCTTGAAGTTAAACATATTAGTGAGTAAATTGCAATGTCTATTCCATATGTAAAAGTTTTATAGGGCTGATTGTGTTTCATCTGCTGAAACAAGTGGAGGCAGCAAGACTGAGTGTTTGGAAAGGGTAAAATATTTTCCCACTGTTTTCTGCACATCAGTGGTCTGGAAGCCCTGCTCTCTCGAGTTATCCCTCTAATTCTAGATCTGATGGAAGGAGAATAGGGATGGGATTGTTTGCAGATCCTACAAAATCGAAATGGGTGTTTGTGTTCCGTGATCAGCAAATGTAATATGGAGTTAAAAAACACAGTGCAGGATTTAGGGCTTTGATGTTTTTGCATGTTTTTAAACAGCCTCCTTTGCTGAAATATTTTTATTTCTGAAGACAGCAACTTTTATTTAGTATTGACTGAAAGATTGTGTTTTTGTGTCTTTCTTTGTCCTTTGCAGTAGCACATATTAAGTGTCCAGCTGTGTTTTAGAGAACTGTTCAAGTGTTAGTGCTGCAGATATAAAATCTGAGACTAAGATGCCAGGGCTAGGCACACACAAAGCCAAACTTCTTCTAAGTTGGTAGCTGAGGAAATGAATTTGAGCTGATATTTTATTATGATACATTTACAGTCAAAACTGTGAGTTTGTTTGCATCCTAAAAGATTGTCTTTAAAATTGCAGGTCTGTCTTCAGTTTGGTCCTCCAAGATCCTGTCTTTTAAGGACAACACAGGCATTCTTCTGCTCAATAACTTTCTTCTTGTGCGGTTTACCTTTCCTGGAGAGCTCTTGTACTCAGAGCAATGTGACTGCTTTACCCTTGATGTTCCTCCGCAAGCTTTGGAAAGAATAACAGATACACATTTCTGCAGGGGAGTTCTGTTTCTATTAGATAGTTCTGGCTGGATTTGTATCCTTTGTGGTAGAGACTAGGTCTATGGTCTGGAAGAAAAAACACAGGTTTTGTTTAAGAATTCTGCCAGGGTTTAACACAAACTTCATTAAATCCTCTCTATTTCGAAGATGCTTTCAACAAAAGGATGGCGGGTAAAGTAGCAGTCATTGTAGTAAAAAAAAAAAAAAAGTCAAAGTTTAAAATCAGAGCTTATTGCCTTCCAACCAAGGTTCTCTGAGCACTGAAACAAGTTAATGTTACCGTATTTGTTGTGTTCATTGTCATTTGTTGCTGTGTTCTTCAGCTTTTAAACCATTTGGTACAGGGTTGCATTAAAACAAGCCCAAGATTCAGAAAGACTTCTTAATTTTACAATAGTTTGTTAAACTGTGTGCCTAGTGTGAAAAGCACTGCATTTATTTCCAAGATGAATGATAGGCATTAGAACAAGCAAGCAGAAATGCACTTGCAGCGTGCAGAGTTCATCCTAGTTCGCCTCTAAACCCCGCTTGTGTTCGAGTTCGGAATTCCCTGTCCTCTCCCGTGCGGATTCCCGGCGTTTCCTTGACGCTGTTCCAAGATGTGTTTGACGCGTTCGATGGCGCGCGCCTGGCCCTCGTGGATGTGGCGCTGCGGGACGGGGACGCGGCCGCCCCGCTGCCGCTCGCTGCCATCCAAGTGTCCCTCGATCTCGGCGTCGCCGTCGTCATCGGTTCTTCCAACTGCGCCGTGGCTGTGGATCTGAACACGTATTTCAGGTATCCTTGCAACAGAATTCCTACATCCAAATTTTGAGGAAAAACTCACGTTAAGCAATTTCCTAATCTCAGTGCTCCAGCAGCTCAGACGCTGTCAGCTTTGTATACTGAGTCCTGGCTCTGACAGGTCAAAAGTAATTTTTAAAAATCACTTTTCTTTAAAGATTGCCAGTTTGCTTCTGTTTCTTTTTAAAATAGGTATAGTGGGTTTTTGTTTTTTCTGGGCTGTGAGCTGTTTGTTCCTGCCGATGGTATTTGGTAGCACATTTGGAAATACTATAGGGCGTGGAATTGTTAAACTGTTCTGTCACAGCTGTACACTTTCTGCTTGATGAAATAGGCCCAGGTTGTAATTTGAAGGTTGTGCGTCTGGAAGGAAATAACATCAGGTTTTGGCGGTTTATATGGACAGTTAAGTGAATGATGCTCATTTGAGAGGAAATTGCTTCTCTGTGATAGCTCCATTTTTTTTTGATTTATTTCCAATTTCAGTTGCATCTTTGCGATGGAATGGTTAGATATGAAAGAAACAAAAACTTAAATTATGAGGTAGCGAAAACGAAACTTCTGTATTTCTTTCTTTGCAGACAGTTTCCTAAGCATTTGCTGTGCAAGGTGGATCCTGAAAGTCTTCCACTAAAACCCCCCGAAGGACTCGACGAGGACGACCTTGCTAGTTCTGATTACAGCATGGAGCTTCTGTCGTCACCTTTTCGGACTGACAGGTACAGCGTGACGGGGCCTTCCCAGGAGGGCTGCGTTCTGCCTCCCGCAGGGTAGTGAGCACTGAACTGCCAGGTGTCAAAACTGGAGGTGTTACACAAGGAATCAAACGTGTGAAGGCTCATCCTGCTTTAATGGTAGGATGTGGCAGGAGAAGGACCAAGACAACTGTACATGTGTCACTGAACAAGCTCAAATAGTAGTTACTATTTGCTGAATGGGAATAAGTTTGGGCCAGTATTGGCAGATTTTTGTTTCTTTACAGTTTACTGCATGTTTAATGCAGATGAATACACATGCACTTCAAATAACTTTTTCTTCAGGTAAAACATTTTATCTATGTTGCAAACTTTAGTAATGGAGGAATTGAAGTCATAATTAGTATTATTAGTATTAAGTGAAGGCAGTAACTGTTCACTCCCATGAATTCATTTCATTCTACTGAAAATATTTTTTAATTGAGAGTATTTTCTGTGAAGAAAAGAAAAGGCTTCCAGTCAAAATACTAAACTTAGTGGACTTTATCAGCTAATGTGATTGTTCTACTTGACTGCAGTCAGTATTTGAATAGAAATAAACTGGGGACATGCTAAGGCTAGACCACAAGATGCTGTGTGTAATCTGTAAATCTAAATGTGTATTATTTGGCTGACAAAGATTTAAAAGTTGATTGTCCTGACATAATAGCTGGTATTTTAGGTAACTTGTTTTCCTTCGTGCCAGGTCCTGGAAAGCACACTTATCCTCGCTGAGTGATGCAATCAGGAGGAGAAAACCAGACAATCCAGACTTGGTGTACGGCAGTTTGCCTTGGTACGAGTATCTGCCCCATCTGGAATGTCACGAGTCCCTCCTGTATGGAAGCTACGAGGCGGCCGTGGCCGCCGCAGCGCAGGGCCCCACGTGGGACCCTTCCAAAGAAGCAGGACACGACGGTGCAAGGAGCTGCGATGGGAGGCAGCAGTGGGTGCAGATCCCTGCCGAGGGATCCCCGGAGCTGGTGAAACTGGAGTGTAAATCTGTGACTGCCTTTAAAGCGCTGTTTGTGCTCTTAACAAGTGACCAAGAATTGACTGTTGCTCTCTGGGATTTAGTGTCACAAGATGTGACTTACCACCACTTCGGCAAAAACTGTGTTTATGTGGATTGTGGAGAAACCCCACTGTGTTTACTTCTGACAGGTGAGATTCGTTGTGGTTGTTCTGATGTAAAAAACATTGTTTGCAGTGCCACTCTTTACCGTCTCTCACTGCTGTTTGCTAATTTTTAATGCATTCCCGATGAGGTAAAATCCAAGTGGAGCAACTACAACTTGGTAGCATCATTTTGAAAGAGAGACAGCAGGTATAAATGTTGCTATGTAGCAACTTGCTTACATTAATTGTCATCTGATTCTTCTATTTAGAGCATGGTCTCTCCTTGGTTCTGTTCGGTTTGACTCAAGAGGAGTTCCTGAACAGGCTGATGATCTACGGCAGCGCGGGGGTCGTCGATGCCGTGTGTCACCTCAACGGCTGGGGACGATGCTCCATTCCTATGCACGCGCTCGAGGTAAACAAGCTCGCCGCACAGCTGAGCTTTGCCAGGCTCTAATCCCACTTTTAGAGATCCCTGGTTATGAAGATATCCCTCCAGAAGCCTGGGGCTCTCCAACAGCCTGAGCACCCCGTCGTTCAGTGCCCAGGGGGAATGTTTGCAGTCACCCTTGGAGAGCTGGGGAGAGACATTTCGTGGAGTTTTGGCAGGGGGATTATTTTGAGGGTGGGATGGTAAGTAGGTGGTTAGGGAGCTTTTCCGTAGCAGTTTAAAGTTGCTGGCAGCATATTCAAAGTCACGATTCTCACACTGTTTATTTTACCTCCCTGAGAAGACTTTAATAAACTGCTGAATTAGCATTGTCCCTTCAAAACTAGAGGGGTAGGGTTGTCTGCAAAACCTACCAGAGGAGCACGGCAGGCGTCTCACCAATAACCGTGTTAGCTGAAGCTGCGGTTATGCCCACAGTTTAAATGTCTTTTTCTTTTTTTCCCCTACTTGTGTACTTAATCACTGAATATGGAGGAAAACATTAGCATTAATTGTACAATATGCATTTTTAGAATATATGTAGAATATACATGTAGAATAATAGTGTTGCTGCATATTTGTCTAGGCTGGTTTGAAGAACCGTCAGCTGGACACAGTAGACTTGTTTTTAAAAAGCAAAGAAGGTCTTTTCAGTCTTTCTGCAAGCGGCTCTGGAACTGAGCAGACTACTGAAAATGCATCTCAGGTATTCCTGAAAAGTGAGTAAAATACTTCAAGCTACATTGAGGTTTAAATGTGATTACCTTTCTGCTTTTGGGGGGAGCGGGGCATTGATGGTAGTCTGTTGACTTACCTTTTGTACGATGCTATATTGTGGCTTTTCTGCTCCTGGAAAATGCAAAAAGTAGTGTATGAGGTCTGGGCTTTGGCTGTGTTCTAATATCTGCATTCCAAGATCTATATTCCAAGCATTTTGATATGAAAGCAAAGCATGTTTCCCATATTTTTTGACAGATGTTAGAAGATCTTAGTAAGGATTCTGATTTACGTCTGTGTGTGAAATAATCCATCATAGCGTAGATGTACATGTTTAAACTTTTTTTTATATATAAATATTGCAGATTTGGAAGAGCTAAGGCCAGCCTTGAATTTGCTTTACTCAGCAGTCAGAGAAAATGATTTGGAAACTCAAAGCAAGCACTTCTCTGAGCAGCTGCTAAACCTCACGTTGACCTTCCTTAACAAACAACTTGCAGGAATTTTTGAGCATACAGAGGGTAAGAAAACTAATGTGAAATCACCTAGTAATATAGTGTGTCATTGTTTAGCTGGAGTGAGAACATCCTGGTTTTTAGACTGAAAGCCTGAATTTGCTTAGAATTGACAAAAATCCTTGGGCTAGAGTTAAGTGAATGAAAGACGTTATCTAAGGAGGAAGCCTGAGAAATTAATCTGAATATAACATGCGTGTTGGCCTGAACAGCTGTGATACAAATAGAGCCTTTTGATCAGGCTTTCAGGTCAGACTGCGTGTTTGGTTGTAATGGGGCTTCTGGGTGTGTAAGAAGGGGAGAATTGGCCTCGAAGGCCCTCCAGGTTGCTTCGTGTAGCTTGATGTAGGGCACTGAAATGCTCCTTGGCTGTGTGTGACTGCCTCAGCGGGACGTTTTAGCGGGGGGACCAGCAGGCCACACATCCTAAAGCAGAATTGGCTTCTCTCGACAGTAAAAAATGCAGGCCATTGATTCTTGGTTTTAACATTCTTTTTTAAGCATGATTTTGCATAGTCTGCACTTCTTAGTAGATGAATATTATGGCAGAGTGTCCCTGCATTTTTAAGAGGACTCATTTGGCTAATAAGTAGTGGACTTGATTAAAAATCCCTTTGTCCTCTCTGGTCCCTGGAGCAGGGAGATGTCTGGGGCGCTGGTTGGGTTGTGACTGTGTCCCAACAGGGGTGGTCTGGGAACCTGAAGTCTTCTCTGCCCTGAGCTTTAGTTTATTAAAGTAGGGAGAATGCATCCAGTGTTGATAAGCAGCGGGAGTGCTGTATTAATTATTAATTTCCATTTAACTGATATCCTGGGTGTTCTCAGCAGAACCTGATGAATACCTGCAGAAGGCTGCACGCATTTTATCGGATTATATTATTGACCTCAGAGCATTTATGAAGCTTCCTCGAGTGCAGACGAGTGCCGTGAACGCAGGAAGTGATCTTGAGGAGGATGAAGACGTGCTGGTAATAGAGGAAAGCGAGAAGTGGGAGAAACTAGAAACAGAGGTAAAAATGCATAATGGCTTTTAAAGCGTTAGTTAGAATGTATCGAAGGATATGATTAATATGAAAATGTCTGCAAAGGATTGTGAAAAAGTCAAAATAGGGAACAAAGTTAGTAATGTTGTAGATTAACAGGGTCACTTTCTTCCAAAGTATTCTTCTCTTCCAGGAAATTATTGCCGATGCCATTTTAAGCAACAGAGTACCTGAGGCCCAGGCCTTCTTTCATATTCGTCAGCATCCTGCTGAAGATATTACAGAATTTATTCAGACAGGTTTGAATTTGGTCTATGACCGTCTCCTGAAGGGCAATACCGAAGAGGCCTCAAAACTTCTAAGAAACATGGTGAGAGTTGTTCAATAAATATACTGGTAAATCTAAACCCTTCTTTATGACAAATGAAGTAAATGTGTGTGTGTGTGTGTGTGCGTGTGTGAGAAGCAGGGTCTTAGCTTTCCTATGTTAGGATTCTACCAAATGTATTCTGTACAATTAAGAAAAAGTTTCTGTGCTTTGCAAAGAAAGCAGATGTTTTTATTCTGTCAATATACAGCTCTGTCTGTACTGTTTGCGTTCAGATAACGTGTTCTTTTTTGGTAGGGATTTGATGTGAAGAAAGAATTGCGAAAGATATGTTTCTACACGGTTGATAAGAATGTGCGAGATCTGCTGGTAAGTCCTTTTAAGGCCTTTTTTGTCTGTCTGATATTCTTGGCTCTGAAAACTTTCTGATTTACACAGAGAAAAATATTGTGTTGAACATGCTTTCAGCATGGGAACAAGCTGGGTTTGTTTCACCATCCGTGAAATGTAGCTGCCACCATTGACATACCTATGGTCTTTTGTATTTGCAGTTAAAATGCCATTTCTTTATTTTGGTTCTGGTCTACTTCTCATCTACTTGCACAAAGTATCAAATCCTGGCCCTCTTGAAATTTAAATATAAATATATTGATTAATGAACCCACCATTCTTTTCGTATAGTTTGTTAACTCTTTACACTTGCATAATTATTTGCAACTTTAATATATGATAAGTAGAGGAAAAACTGTAACTGGAGCTAATACTTTATTTTGAATTAAAGGTGAAAGTTTTAGAAGAAGAAAATTATTTTTCCGAAAAAGAGAAGAGAATGATAGATTTTGTGCATCAGGTTGAAAACTTTTATTCGGAATCCCTCCAAGAAAATACAGAGATTCAGACTTTCTCTAGGTAATGTGGCTTATAGATTTAGAATTGTTAATTAATAAAGTTAATAGACTTTAAAATATGTTGGCTTCTGGGTTCCATATGATTTACTGCATTGACAAATTCAGTCTTCTGTAACGTTGTTTGTGTCATCCAGCTCTTCGTTTGCAGAAGTAAGGATCGGTAGAAGAATTTATTACTTTTTCATGAATGTGACAATTGCTGTCATGTTCTTTCCAGACTAAGTCATGACTTAGTATTGTTAATGCAGTGGAGGTCTTCTGTTCGTGTTATCCACATAAATGAAGCATATTTAATAGCTAAGAATATTATTAGAATTGTTGGTCAAGTGGAACTTGTTGAGGTGGAATGCTTGCTCCATTTTTTGATATGATATCCATAACATAGCAACATTATGTGACTTAGAGAAACTTCTTACTGATTGTTCTCTTTTTAAAATTAAACAATTTTAAAATGTTATCATACTTACTATTTAGTGTGTCAGTTTTGGAAGAGTTATTCTTTGCTGATTGTTTTTCTATGTGCTGTCACTCTTGACTGAAATAAATCCCTCTACCACTTCTAGAGCTCCCTTCAAAAAGCAACTAGCAAAACTTACTGATCCTTTCATCATCTCTTGTTTTTTAAAGAGTAGTAGAATATGTATTAATGGAAAACTTCATTGCAGTTTCACGAACTGGAGAAAGGAAGATTTTTCCAGACATACAGCTGTTTTAGACTCATTCCTGAATTGTGATAAACCTCAGGTTCACAATAGAGAATTCCGGGTGATGTTTGACTGGGCCCAGTGGTGGGATGAGCTTATTCAGGAAATGATTCTTCTCCCCAGAAAAACACGCGAAGGCAAGTACTGGAGAACTAAAGAGTTTAAGAAAATGTGAATTAAAAACTTGAGAGTCTTTGAGGTACTGTAATGTGGCTGCGTTGGGATGGCAGTGAGACAAGCAAAGCTCTGTGCTACCCAGTAAGTCACTTAGTTTTTGTCAGTGAAAAAGGCTAAGTTGCAGGTTGAGTCAGAAGCAAACTGTTCTGCCTGTTGTGTTCTGATGGCCGTTGTGTTTTTCTTGGAGAGAAGAGGTGGAACCAGCTGAAAAAACGACTTGAAATTTGTTGTAAATGATATAACCCTCTATTTTTTGTAAAACTAGTTACCAGGTAGTGTTGTATTTAGCTTTTCCACTGTAGATCTCTAACTATCTGTAGCAGTATCCAGTGTTCGCAACAGTATTTAGATGTAACTGATCATCATCATCTTTGCAAAAAAAAATACTAGTTCATTAATATTATATGCACGTATAAAGAAATGTCAATATTTCCCTAAATAGTGATTGTGAGGATTTCTTCTTTTTGTGTGCACTTTTTTAAAAACGCAGAATTGAAGAGCTGTAACCCTGCGGTTCTCTGGAGGCATCTGACCGCCCGGCATGACTGGCTTAGTCTGTGTGCATGGATCGAAGAATCTGAGCCCCACCAGGCTTCACGTGGAGCAGAGAACTGGCCCCCGCTGACTCCAGACATTGTTGACAAAAACATGTTATGTAGTGGCTACATGAGAAATGAAATATTAACCAAACTGGCGAGGTATGTTCCCTTCCTGAGTTATGCTAATTCTCTATTTTATGCGGAACCAAAATCAAATTATTCTAGAAGTACATGTTAATAAAATCCTCCATACGTATTAATTTTTATATAGTATTTGGTGCCCTTTTTTAAAACAGCACGAATCCTTTAATAAATTTAATCTTCTGCTTGTACTTTCAATGCTCTGAAAGCAGTTGAAATGCTCCCAAAAAGATTATATTCTTGCTGCCCATTTTAATGTAATATTTCACCTTTTGCACCTCTTTCTCTCCAGTAAATGATAGCATGTAAGATACTGGTAGAGTGCTGTCAAAATTTGTGTGTTTTGGTGTGTTATGCTTGCCTTGGTAATTCAATAATTTCCAGAAGATCTGCATTCTTGTTTTGAATTCAAAACACATTTCCAAACTTCTGAAAGAGATAGCGGCCTCATCTGTGTGTATCCTTTTTCTTTTCTTTTTTTTTTCTCCGATAGAAATGGAATTTTTGTTCTTTCTGAATTAGAAGATTTTGAACTTCTGCTCCAAAGATTGTCTTACCTTGGGGGAGTAATGCAGAATCCTCACCCTGTTCCAAAATACAACACTGCAAGTGGTTTGGACTTCCATACGCGTTTTGTCCTTCACTGTTTAGAACGTAATTTGCAGTATCTATTATACACTTACTTAGACTATTACAGGTATGAACACTTTATTCATCCACCAAATTACATGCCTATTTGAATAGTAAAACACAACCTTAATGACTTTTTCCTAGGACTTTGCTGACTGGCAAGAGAGACTGCTCAAGTCACAGCATCGTTCCATGAAAAGCTGGGGCTGTGTCTTAGATTTCATGCTCTATTTTGAAGCTTTATTCCTGTTGTCTTGTCATGATTATTTGCCTGTCAGCCAGTAAAGGAAACAATTATATGTTTAATGAGTAAAACTGTAAGGAATGCAGTCTTGAGTGAGCCAAACTAACTTGTTCTTCAGAAAATATCTCACTTAAGCACAGATATGGGTTTATTTGCCAGTGCATTGGCAAATGAAGGAATTTCTGGTTTCCATCTAAATTAGGACTAGTTGGAATTAGAAGAGGAGAAAGAAATGCCAAGTTTTGGAACTGTCTGTTTACTTTGCATGTAAAAAATGCCTCGAAATAAAAAATTCTTAGTTGTAATGCCAATCTCACAGTGCAATTGAGTAAGCAGGTAGAAGTGGGATAAAGGAAAGCCCACAAATCACTTAAATTAGTTCCATGAAATATTCATACTATACAAAGAGTGCTTTTTATTAATTGAGCCCCTTCTTTGGGAACTGTTTGGGCTTGTCAACCTAGAAAATACTACTTACATTGCAGAAGCAAGGAAGCAAGCACAGCCTTAGGGAAGGGAATTGCCAGAGATGGCATGAGTTGGAGCTGCACGTCTTGTATTGATGGGTGGCAGGGTTTGGCTCGGTCATTATAATGAAAAGAATCCCTCTATCACCCAGTGAGATGCTCACTGAGGCAGAGGTGGCGGTTTCCATGGATGAGTATTGTGTTTTCACTGTTGTTTTCAACTTGTTTACAGTTTAACTCCTTCAAACTGTCCTATTTTGGATAACAAGGAATTGCATGAAGCTCATCCCTGGTTTGAGTTCCTTGTGCAGTGTCGAGGGGTGGCCAGTAACCCACGAGGTAGGAGCTAGGGCCAGTGTCTATACTGCTCTGGGTTTATCCGCTGTTCTGCTGCAGACTCTTTCACCATAGTAATTAATTTAAGAGATGAGGAACCAATGCACACACACACACTGAGGATAACTCCTACTCTAACAGTTCTGAGTATTGTACATGGAGGTTTGGAGACTGTAGATATGTCAGCATTGGTTTGTGTATGAACATCCTATTTTAATAAAAGGCTGACCAGAAATGAATGCACAAGAAGTGAATACACATTAAAATTATAGCTACTTCCGATGTTCAGGTGCTTTTTGGCTTCCTTGCTCCTTAGATTGTCTTCACTTGGTTCACAACATTTTTTAGTTAACTATTGAAAATCACTAGATTGTGCCCTTAATTTACTTAACTCTTTTTGAAAAACCCTTTGTGTTTTGAGGAGGCACATATTAATAGGTGATAAAAGTAATGATCAAGTACAGTGCATTTTTTTTTTCAGGAAATGTGAGTACCATTAGTAATGAAATGCAAAAATGAGGGACTTAATCCAAATGAATCTTTATAGGTAGAACTGTATATTAAAGCTTAATACAAACTAAAGGGGCTTGCCTGTGTTGTGAGTGACCCAAGAAAATCTCCACTATTAACAACAAATACATAGAAAATTCAACCTGTTTCTTAGTTATAGAACAGTTTTAAGCAGAAATGAATAATAGCAGGTTTTTTTGTGTGTTTATTTGTTTTTCATTAAATTAAATCTCGTTTTTCTCCTTCTAGATCCAAAGATGATTTTTCAGGCTAGTCTGGCAAATGCTCAGATATTGATTCCTAGTAATCAAGCCAGTGTGAACAGCATGTTGCTGGAAGGACGTACCCTGCTAGCGCTTGCAACCACCATGTATGCACCCGGGGGTGTTGATCAGGTACTGCCTGCAGAGAAGTGTTGGCAAGTTTTTGGAGCTTTTGCTTGATGTTGAAAATTGGAATTAATAAGTTGCAGAAAATGAGTTCACAAATGTCATCGTGTGTTTCTTCTCCTGCAAAAGCCTGTGTTTGGTGCTGTGTGTTTCAATTTTAGCTACCTAAATGCTGCTTTCTCAGTGGAGTGCCTCAAAGTAACAGAGCTTAGGAATAGCAAGGCCTAGTGGATATGAGTTGGATTATATTATTGTAGTAATAATGCATGTGTTGTTAATACAGACAGCTTTGTGGTATATAACAGAGTAGCCTAAACCTAAAGTTCTTTTTGAAGTTTTGTCTGATATAGCTTATCAGGATTTTTCAGAATATTTTTTCTGTGTTATTATCATATGCCAAATACCCCTGAATTAGATAGTTTGGCCCATTCAAAGATTGTTTTATTACTATCTAATGCAGTTATTTATTCTGAGTGAAATAATCTTACTTCTTTTTGTTATAGGTTCTTCAGAGCGAAGATAAGGAAAAAAGTGTGAAGAAAGTTGATCCACAGCTCTTAAAAATGGCACTGACTCCTTATCCCAAGCTCAAAGCTGCTCTCTTTCCCCAGTGTACTTCTCATGGAATTTTGCCACCTGACATCTCTCTCTACCACCTTATTCAGGTATCTTTTATTTATTTATTTTTTTATTTATGAGCTGTTTGGCAAAAGAAAAGTAAACTGAGAGTTAGCTAAATCCTGATGGGCAGGGACCGTGTTGTTTTCTTGGAATCCTTAGCTGGGACTAAAGTTTATAGCTGTATATACATATATATATTTTTTTTTTCCGTAAATGGTATCTCAGTACTAGCTACAAGTCTGGCATTTTTAATCCAGCCATATACAGACATCTGCGGTGCTTAATTTCAGCAGGGGTTGAGTGTGACCATCCCAGCATGTCAGAAAAGTATTTTTCTTGCTGTATGTATTTGCAATGTATATTCTTGCTTTAAGCAGGAACGAGGCTATTTGTTATTATTAAAAATTGTAAGGGAAATTCTAACTTAGAATTAGAGGATAGTGTCTCCCGGGATGCTACGATAGACATTTCTCAGCAAATACCTTCTGCTTGAGATATGTGGCATGAAGTGACAAACTGATAGCTGGAAGAAATACTGTGAATCATTTGTCGTTAGGAAAGCGGTACTTTGCTAAGATCACAGTTGCACAAAGTGCAGTGTTCGTTCCTGTTTCCTTAGGCTGAAGTGCAGGTATCTCCCTGTACTGGTGTGCAGTCTGGTCCTGCATGAGTAGCTAACTCTTGAGCGGAGCAGGCCCGTTGGGCTCCCTGCTGCTGCAGCTCCCTGTGGTCTGCTCTGCTCTGCTCTGATGTCAAAACCTGACCTGACCAAGTGTATTTTGTGTCTAATCTTTCAGTCATTAGTGCCCTTTAATCCCACTAAATTGTTTGGCTGGCAGTCAACAAATACTCTTGCTTCATCAGGTATGTCTCTCTTTTTTTTTTTTATGCTTTGTTAAGCTGTTTGCCTCATAAAATACCTTCGGTTGAATCGTTTGGCTGATAAACCCATTCAAAAAGATGTTCCTTTTATAAAACCATCTAAATAAAAAAACCCCAAACCCTAATTTTACTAAAAATTTGCTTTGAAATTAAATCATGTTTAAGTTGATTGTCTTTTTTCCCCTAAGCTCTTAGTTCTTCACAGATACGAGATATTTTTCAAAGGCACCATGAGATAGGAAAACATTATTTTTTTGTTGTTGTTTTAAAGGCCAATTGAGAAGGCCATTCTAAGAAGAAATGATCTGATCATGACTATTAGGAAAAGTTAATGCTTGAGTGTTTTTTTTTTTTTTTTTAACACAGTGAGAACTGGAATTCTAGTTGGATTTGATATGTTGAAGTATGTTAAATTAGAGCAAGAGAGGTATTTGGTTATCATTTCATGTTCAGTAGCTGAAAGCCATTTCCTGTGTTTAAGTCAACTGTTTGTCAGCTCATAAAAATGTTGATATTCTTTCTAGATACATCAAGTGATTTTCCTCATTTTTCTTCCCCTGAATTGGTGAACAAATATGCTATAATGGAACGACTGGACTTTTTGTACTATTTGCACCATGGACGTCCATCATTTGCCTTTGGTACATTTTTGGTCCAGCAATTAGTAAAGAGCAAATCCCCCAAACAGTTGTAAGTCTTCTGAAAATGCTATTTGGATTGTTCTTTTGATGTTACAACCTAGCACAAAAAGTACATTAATCCTCTGTGACAGTAAAAGGCGTGTGGCGCAGATCATCCCAAGAGCACAAAATAATATACATGGTAACCTCTTGAAATATTAGGTCCTGGGAATCTGTTCAGTCTAGCATTTGGTAGTACAGAAATAAAATATCATCAAGAGATGAGCTTTGGTTTGAATTACTAAATAATATCCACACAATGAAAGCAAGGAATTTAAAATGTTGTGGTTACATCAGACACAGATAGGCTTCCAGGGAAATGAACTTCTAGGTCACTTAGTAGAAAAAAAGATGCCGCTTTGACAAGTAGTGAGAATGAATTTAAACTTCATGTCAGACTCCAGCATCCCTATATTTTTCAGTTAGTAGGATGGCAAACTTTCCGGCATCCAGGGAGCCAGCCACTGCACTGAAGTCTGCGCAGTTAATTCAGTGCAATCCACAAATCAGTTTCAGGTTAGTGCTGCAGTGCTTAGGATGTAAATTCTGCAGTGGAGTAGTTTATACGAAAAACTTTTATATTATTAGCTATATTGTCATTTGCTTTGGCTTTAGTTTTTAATTGAAGTCTATTAAATTTCAAACTCTGCCTGCCCTTTGCACATTTATCACATACAAGGCTTTATTCTCATACCTACATTCATTCTAAATGTGAAATTGTTGATTAGTAAATACCTCCCATGCCACAAAAGCCTTGTAAGGTTAGAGCACTCAGAGCACTTTTTTTAAATAGGGAATATTTGTATCTGTCAGATCAGTAGAAAATTACATGTATTCACTGGTGTTTGTTTCCTTCTAGGATCCAGCAAGCAGGAAAGGAGGCCTATGGCTTAGCCATCTCTTTCTTTCATATACCTTCAATAGGAGCAGCCTGTGTTTGTTTTCTAGAATTGCTTGGTCTCGACAGCCTCAAACTCAGAGTTGATCTTAAAGTTGCAAACCTAATTTTCAGTTATAAAACTAAAAATGAGGAATCTCAGCACAATACAATAAGAGAATCTTTTGGTAAGCGTGTTCTTTGTTTTAAAATGAATAACATATATCAATTGGGATGAGAAGCAGAGAGGGACTGAAAGAAGGTGCCTAATCTCTCAGGACAAATAAGGTTATTCTTTGAAGAGCCAAGAATTTTGCTGCTCTGATATTGCTGCTGCTTAGAAGTGCTCAAGGTGCAGCCAGAACCTGGCAAAGCCAGCAGGCCAGGAAGGCTGCACTGTTCTGAGCTGTCTCTAATGGAGAGAGTCAAAGAGCTGTCCAAGGCTCAGGGTAGGTTTTAGTAAGATTTAGCCTAAAGTTTTAAATATAACTAGAGGATTAAATAGAGGGTTGTTAACAAATCACTTCTTCTTACTTGAATTCTATCTTACAACTCTATTAAAATCAAATGTTTGAAACTAAGAAGACATTAAATTTGTCCTAGAAATAGTCTTAGATTGTACGCACAGTTCTGTAGATTTTTTTTTTTTGGGAAAAAAATGGGATTAATTTTCATTTTTCTTTTAGTCCTTGATTGGGATTATAGCTCAGACTTACTAAAAAAGTAAATGTTTAGATGATTTGAAAGCTAAAATTCTTGTTCAAAAATCATATAGGCACTTTGTACCTGACAATGCATTTACTGAACAGTTTATATTTGGAAGACTCAAACTTCTTGCTTACTCTGCTACTGTCGAAAATATTTCTGTAATGCCAAAATACTAATAGTAATACATTCTTTCAAACAGTTGAAAAGTTAACAAAATTGGCTGATGCTGAAAAAGCAACAGCAGCAGCAGCAGAAATTCTTACCTGTTTAGAAGAAGCCTTTTGGGATACAGTTGAGCATCAAGGAGTAAATAAGTGAGTAAAAATGATTTTTTATTTTATTTTTTGTGCTAAAAATTGACCTTGAGCACTGAATGTTAACATTTGTATATTTGGGCATTATTAAAGAGATCTGTTTATATTTTATTGCAGGAAATTGTGTAACAGAATTTGGATTTAGGATATAATCTGAGTGTTTCAAGCGATAGAGGTAGTAGATGTGTAGTGCAAGGATAATGAAATGCAGTCAGCATTTTGAAATTCCTGCTCTGCAGCAGTTTGCAGCACTGTGGCTCAGGAGGAAAGATTGCTGAAATCTTTTCCAAATGTAGATTTTCAAGCCTGGGCGGTGACCCTGCCTTGGTGAGAGCGTGCACAGAGAATGAAACCTGGAAGCTCCTTAGTGGAATCTGATATAATCCATAACACAGTATATGGAAATGCTTGTGTTGATGTTTGCAGGCAGTGCACCTCAGACTTGCACATTATTACCACTGGATTAAAATTACCACATTAATGCAGCTGAATCGCAAAAGCTTGTTCTTTTGTCTCTTTCTTTTTTCTTTTTTTTTTCTTTTTTTTTCTGCTTTTAGATACATGAAGGTAGAAGCAGAAATACTGAGTTAAAGTTGTCATTAAATTCCCTGCAGGCTGTCTAATGACTCTAGAAGGCAGTGGTCTTTGGTGATGCAGTTCTGTAAGCTCCATAATACCCGGCTGAGCACATCGTACCTAAAGGAATGTGCTAAATGCAACGACTGGCTGCAGTTCATCATCCAAACCCAGCTGTACAGCTACCAGCCAGATGAGGTAAGCCCTCTGCAGGGGATAAACTGGGAGCTCTTCATGCAAGGATGCTCTTTGTGGTGGTCTCTTTGAAATAAATAAAGAAAAAAAATTAAGAAAGAAATATTTGTGTAAAAGGATGTCACATTGCAGGGACGATATAAAATTGAAACCTAATCAGTTTCCATCGATTTAAAAATTGCCTCAGGATGTTTGATATTCTCTGTTTGTGATCCCTCTACAGCTGGGTTCCACCACTTTTCTACTTTTCTCTGCCTCTTGGAAGGAAGTACTTAGTACATCCTGCCTCCTTCCCTCTCATTCTCCTTAAATTTTGCTTTATATAGCTGCTTTTGATTCTGTTTTCCTAGGTGATTTCTCTGCTTCAAGACTTCACTCCAGTTTTACGAGATCACTTGACGTTGGCGTGGGAGAAGCTCCCGGTTTCGTGCCCTGCCAGGGGCAGCTCCCTGAGCGGTGCCAGGGAGCTGGGGAGCAGCAGCGGGGAGAGCCTGTTCCAAATCCTCCTGCAGTGTCAGGGGAACCCCAACCCTTCTCGTTTCCTTTTGACTGAAGGAATGAGGCAGCATTCTCCCTTTCTGAGTGTATTAGCAGCATGTTTTCAAGTGAGTATTGATTAAATTACTTATCTTCTGGAGGTATGAATAATACAGACATTTTTATTGTACATAATTATGTGAATGTTAGATATGCAGGCTGTATTCATCAAGTTTTTCTCAGTTCTGATAGTAATTGTTGTGATTGGGATGATGTACTTGGTTGAGTGATATTTAATGAAGTGACATTTGTCTTCTGGTTGTTATAAAGCTATTGTCTGTGTCTACTCGGCAGGATGCCAACGTTATCCATTGCCTCTGTGTTTGGGTAATTACTACTGTGGATAATGTTACCAGAGCTGAAGCAACAAACCATATTCAAAGCTCAGTAGAAAATCATGAATGGGATCTTAATGACCTGTCAATTATCTGGAAGGTGCTTTTAAGAAAGGAAAAAAGTAAAACACTTATAAATGGCTTTCAGCTCTTTTTAAAGGTAAGGTCATGTCTTTTTAGTATTCCCCTTCACTCTATCTCCGACCTTGGTAGGGGAGGAGGTTGCCCATAGATTCTCCCACTGTCTTGCCATTTTTAGGCCGGGCATTGGGTATAATCCAGGAGAGGTCCTGGCCAAATAAGAACATTTTTGAATGGAAGTTCTTGCAACTGTTACGAATTTGCAAATCATATATCAAGCTTGCTTGCTGTTCTAAATAAGTGAAAACTTTGTTGCTCTGGCACTGAGGAACACATTGGCATTCGTTCGTTGGTGTACTTCATTGGTGTGAATTACAGCCTGTTTTTGTATCTTAAAGGATTCCCCTTTACTCTCTATCTTGGACATGTATGAGCTATGTATGAACTTCAAAAAATACGCTGAAGCGAAAACAAAACTGGACATGTTTCAGACAAGTCTCATGGAAGTAAGTAGCATTCATTTTCTGTAAATGTCTTTGTCTGGGTCTTCTTGTATTAGAATGGGATAGTCACCTAATGTCATATATGAAAAAAATGAAAAAGCTTAGAATAGTCTAGCAGCAAATTTGTGAAGTAACTGGTTTCAGCAGATTCTCTTTAGTCCTGGCGATGGAGGGAAAATATTTTTGGCTGTTCAATGCCCATGTTGCATTTTGTTTCAAGTGATATGGGCAGACTGGAACACACTTTGCCCAGCTTGTGTGAGCAGTTCGCTTTGAGGGGTGGCGTTGACTCCAGCAGGAGCACGGAGTTATTGTGGTGGGTAAATGTGGGATATTCTGTTCTGCACTCACTAGAGCAAATGAATATTTTGCTGATAAACCAGTGACTTGCCAAGACTGTCTAAACGATTGTTCCTGAGTATGTTTGGGAGTTTCTGAAAGCAGATTTGGTACTGGTTTGGTTTTGGCAGTGGTCAGAAACTGTAGACCTCACTTTGCAAATGACTCGGTGAACTGAATTACGGTTATGCAGTCCAATTAAAACAGCAGTTCAGCAGTTGATACTAGCAGGCCTGAAGTAGCTCCCTGCTCTGTTCCTTGTTTCACATGCAGATATTTTCAGAAGTTATTTTAGTTCTTCTCTTTCCATCACCGCTGTCTGATTCCCCAGAGGTGTTAGTAGCTCCCGCTCCGTGGCACGCGTGGTTGGTTGGTTTCCTTCCTGCAATTCAAGCTCAGGCTAGCTCCGTTTCCCTGCGTGCCCTCGGATGTGCCTGGTGGATATGATTGTACAACACGCAGCTGTTAATCCAGCAGTTTCTTTTCCTGCCCATTTCTGATCCTTCTTGCATCTTTCATCTGTTCCATGGTTGTCAGGGGAGATCAGTGGTTAGTTACCCTGTCATAAAGTCTATTGATCAAAGGCAAGTCCCTACATCAGTGATGGGTCAGTGCCCCCTTGCACATGCTGCTTGTTTGTTAGAGAAGGAGATACATTTGTACAGTTCTCATTTCCAGGGGGATTTCACCAAAATGAATAGAAGTTAATTTTTATATTTGCTGAGAAATATGCTGGCAAACATCAAGACCATTCCAGATCATTAAAAATCTTTTCATATACGCAGCTTAAAACCACAGATGAACTAACACCTCCCGAGTTACCTGTGCGATGGCTGGAGTCGCAGGCGTCGTTTCTCCTTGAATTGATGGTGCAGCAGTGTAGAACCGACTATGAATTAGGAAAAATCTTACAGCTGTTTGCTGCAGCAAATGATCTTCTACTTGATGGTAAATGCCAAGTCCTCTACTTTATGATCTTGACAGCTTTAACCTAATAGCCACCTATAATGTTCTTGGAGCAATTCAAGTATTTACTTTAAGTCTATTCTGTGTTTTTTATTCTTGTGTAGGAATTTTTGTAATGAAAATTAGTCCTTATACTAATGGCTCTGGGGCGAGGTAATTGCATGCCATTTTATTTGGAGAACAGTTAAGTGCAAGTGTATGTTGATAAGGAATGTACAAGCAATCTGCAGAAATTGTAGTTATAGGTTTAGAATACATTTGCAGTCCTGTGAGAGGTTGAGAATGTTAAATCTGCAGTTCCTCTCTGGCCAGGTTGCGTGCTGAAATAAGTAACAGAATTTCCCTGGATTTAAAACTTTAATTGTTTATACTCTTTTAAAACAGGCCCTTATGTGAAGAAACTGTGTGCGCTCAGCGAGGCCCTGCAGGATTCACCCATCTCGATCAATCGCTCCATCCTGACGGGTTACAGCGCAGAGACCTTTCAGAATGAGTGCAGATCAATCCTGGAGCAGCTGCAGGACAAGGGAATGTTCTCCCTGGCTCGGAAGGTCGCAGAACTAGCTGAGCTGCCTGTGGACAATGTGGTGACCCGGGAGGTACAGTAGAGTCAAATAATGATACTTCATTTTGCTATTGCTGGCAGTACTAAGAATGTTGTTCCTCAGTCTTAAAAATCTTCAAAGCACTTTCCAACTGCAATGCAAATGCAACAAACAAGTTGACTGCAAGTGCTGTGCTCCAAAGGATGGTGGAGCTCTCTTCATTCTCTTGCAGTTTTCACTTCGCATACAACCAGATTTTTTTGGTGGGAAAAGCAGATGGATTTGTGAAATATTGGGGTATTCAATCTGAATTCTTTTTTTTTTTTAATATGCAAGCCATTCATTGTGTTTTTTCTTTTAAAAATATTTTTATTTAAACCTTCTATGGATTTTGCAGGTTCTAAGAGATCTACACCTGTTAAGAAACACTGGACAGTGGCAGCAAAACCACACAAGAGTTGAATTCTGGAAAAAATGCAATGACAACTTCGTGAAAAATTCCATCTCCAGCAAAGCTGCATCTGATTTCTTTCTAAATCAGGCAAATACAGTGGCTGAATCTTCAGCTCATGAGAAGATAAACACAGTTATGGAGAAGCATCTGTTGCTTACCCTCGCCGGCCATTGGCTTGCCAAGAGTGACCCGGTGTCACTGGATGAATTAGAAGCAATAGAGAAACAGATCTGGATTTGTCGCATCGCACAGCAAACCTTATCCACCTACGAAGGGTCCGGCCAATCCAGATTTTCCTGCCAGGTTTTAGTGAATGGGGACCTTACCTTTGATAACTTAGCGAAGGAGTTTTCTTTCTCAAAGCTGCCTGCCCTGAACACTCCCAAATACTTGAAGCTGGAGGGCTTGTTGTTCAGCGAAGCTGGGCAGCCGCTGGCTCGCGAGGAGGGGGCCTCGCTCAGGG